CCACCCCCCACAAGGTTAGGCAAGATACTTACCTTTTTGAAGTTAGGCCGATATTTCAAATAGTCTTCTTGCTTGAATTGACCTCCGGACAGCTCGAATCTATCTAAATTAATTGTATAATTTCATTAAAATTCATCGGAAACAAATTCCGGATAAAACGTCAACTTAAATTTTGTACACAAGTCATAAATGACGTAATAAAGTTGTTCCAATTTTCGGAATCAAAATTCGACCTCGTTATCAAAAATTCAACCTTCGGTCGAACTTTTCAAAAATCTTTTATTTTTCAACTTTCGCCAAAATGCGTCGAATTGCCTACGGACTTTCAAATCCAAATTCGGACATACGCCTAAGTCCGAAATCACCATACGAAACTATTGACATCATAAAAATTTTATTCCGGAGCCGTATGCTCAAAATTCACCGGTGAGCTCCTTTCATTTTAGTTTCTAAAATAAGAATTGTTCTTTCAATTTAATTCTGAATCTTTCAAAAATCAAAATCGGCCACCCACGCGGGTCATAATACATATTACCAAACTACTCAAGACCTTAAGTCGCTGAACGGGGAGTTACTTCTTAAAACGACAAGTTGGGTGGTTACAAAAATCTCCATTTGCATCTCTAATTACGCCTCTGCCACCAGAGCTTCCTGGATTACCTTCGCTGCATCCGTCTGTATTTAACTTAAAGCAACTTATTCCTGGCTTGGTTCATCTCACCACTTGGCTAGATATTACCTGTTGTACCTTCTCGGTTGCTAGACATATTTCCATCCATGACCGAGGCAATCGTAGCTTCGGGAATTTATAATTTAAAAGTGAATTCATAAATCTACGCACCTAATGAATGATGATTCTAGCAGACATATTTATCCCTTCAAACTTGGCCTTGCACCTACTCTTCCATATTTACCAAGAAATAATAGAAGGTAAGCACTGAATTAAAGTAGCATGAACTCCATTATTAGCTATAGTTAACCACCATCCTATAGCCATTTGCCTTATGTATCCCTGACTCATTTTAACTCCACAACAGTTAGCAAAGTACGCCCACACTTATCTTGAAATTTGACTCTCACAATACAAGTGGTGACTAGTTTCTTCTTTATACTTGGAACAACAACAACATTTAGAAGGGACAATAATTCCAAGTCTATGGATCATTTCAAGTGGGTAATCTTCCTTGAAGTAGTCTTTTCATGAAAAAAAGAAACTTTGAAGGGAAATTCTTTTGCCATATCATACTATTTGTAAAAGTCTTCGTTATGTACTTTCTCAATTGTTCCCAGGCTGATCTACATGAAAAAGATCCAGTATGGTTCAAAGTCCACACTGGATAGTCTTCCTTGTCCTCCCTAATTTCAATAGATAGAATAGAACTTACTAGATTTGTCGGTAGGACAGAGTACAACTTTTCCTGGTTCCATCTCCCATTTTTCATAAAATCATGGATCTTAATATTTTTTGATGCATTAATGCGATTAATACACTTGGCCAATGATCCATTTCCGGTCCAATTATCCCACCAGAATAAAATATTTCATTTGTCAATCCTCTATAACACATATTTCTCAGCCTCCTTCTTGATGCTCATTAATCTTCTCCAAGTATAAGATTGGTCATAAGAACATTTTCTAGCAACAGAATGCTTTATTGTACAGTATTTAACCTCCAACAATTCTTTCAATAGAGATTTTTGGGTCCTAAAGTTCCACCATATTTTAGCCGCAAAAGCATTACATATATCCTGTAAAGACCTGAACCTCACCCCACCTTCCATAGTAGAAAAACAAAAGTTTTTCCCATGCCATCCAGTGGTGCTTCTTTTTTGTCATTATCCTTTCCCTAAAAAAAAAACTAGCCATAATCTTTTGAGCTTGAAGTAAAGCAATTTTAGGAGGATGCAACACAGAAAATAGGTGAAGAGGTAAAGCAGTGAGAATCGACTTTATCAATACAACTTTACCACCAAAAGAGAAAAGTTTACTCTGCCACCCTTTCAACCTGTTAGAGAATTTGGCCACCACGCCATTGAAATAAACCCCCTTCTTCCTCCAACCATAAATAGGACAACCAAAGTACTGCATTCGAAATTGATAGTGAGTACAACACAAAATGTTCCGAATATTACATATTCTGCTACTATTGAAATTAGGAGGAACATACAAGGTAGACTTCTGTCTATTCACCATTTGCCCAGAAGTCTTCTCATACATCTCCAATTTTGACATCATCAACTTTAGAGATAAAGGATCTCCAGATGAGAACAAGATTGTATCATCTAAATAGCATATGTGTGTGAGGGTAGGTCCTTTCTTATCCCATGAAAAGGAAATAAAACCTCCGTTCAGTAAAGAATCCATCAGTCTAGATAATAGTTCAGCTCCAATAACAAATAGAGAAGGTGATAGAGGATATCCTTGCCTGATCCCCCTACTTGATTTTTCAAAAAACCCTTCCTTGATCCATTTATGTTTATGGAATACCATACATTTGAGATTAGTCTTTTAACTCTATCATTCCATACTTCATTAAACCCCACCTGCCTCAATACTTGGCATAAGTATTCCCATGAAAGTTTGTCACAAGCCTTAGCCATGTCTAGTTTCATTACTACATTGCCAGCTAATGATGGTTGCTTAATATTATGCACCATTTTCTGAGTTAAAATGATGTTCTCAGTGATGGACCTTCCTTTAATGAATCCAGTTTGAGATGGTGACATCAGCTTATGCATATATGGACATAGTCTTTGATTTATCAACTTTGAAATAATCTTGCAATAGAAATTTCCAAGACTTATGGGTCTTAACTCGGCATATTGCTAAGAGTGTTCAACCTTAGGAATTAGAGTAAGGTAGGTATGAGTGAATGCCTTCTGAATTTCAGTACCTGCAAAAAACTCAAGTACTATTAGTAGTAGATCCTCCTTTATAATTTTCCAGTATGATTGGTAGAACTTCCTAGATATTCTGTCAGGTCCAGGAGCACTGAAGATGCTCGTGGAAAAGACTTTATTTTTTATTTCTTCCATGGTGGGGCAGTCATCTTTTCATTGTCATCTTCGTCAATCACCCTTGGAATCAATTGTAGCAATGACAGGTCCACAAGATGTTCCTCCCTGGTAAATTGCTTTTGGAATAATATGATAGCTTCATCAGCAATGTCGCCATCTCCTTCAATCCAGTTACCATCATCTTTCTTCATTTTATTTAAAGTTAGCCTCATTCCCTTCCCATTAACCACAGAGTAGAAGAATCTCGAATTGGTTTCACCTTCGACAAACCATTTAATTTCTGATTTTTGTCTCCAATATTCCTCCTCCTTTTTAATAGCTCTAATTAGCTCTGTATTCACTTGATTCAGCTTAGCCATGTTAGTAGCTGAGTTATCTAAGATGGATAATTTTTCAAGTTCTACAACTCTTCCTTCCAATACCTTAACATTATCAAAAATATTACCAACAATGTTCTTTGACTAAGCTGATAAGTTTTTGTAAGTATTTTTCAACTTCAAATGGAACTTCTACAAAGGAGATCCATGAACCTCTTATCTCCATGCATGCTCCACCACATCCATAAATTCAGTTTTATTAGTCCAAAAATTTAGAAACTTAAAATATTTAATAGGTTCAGACTGTTTTGATCGGACATGAGTCAATAGAGGTGAGTGATCAGATCATATTCTCACTAGGTGAGTGACTGTTGTAATATAAAAAGATTTAACCAGCCATTATACTAGAACCCTATCTAATCTTTGCCAAATTCTTCTTTTAGGACACCAACCATTATACCAGGTAAAATTTGATCCATAATAACCTGCATCCACCAATTCAAAATCAATGATACATTGAAAAAAAAGTGAGGCTCTTGGACATTCTGTGGGGTGTGCCACCCTTCTTCTCAGCAGGGCCAGTGATACAATTAAAATCTCCTGCAATAAATCAGGGCAATTTAAAATTATCACATAAGTTTCTCAGCTTATCCCATAATTATTTTCTAAGGTCCTCCTCGCATCTAGAATAAACATATGAAACTAATAAAGAGATTCTATTATATTTAATGATGCATGTTATCTGCTTCTCATCTTCATCTATAACCACACAATCCAGATCTTCTTCCCAAAATAACCATATTTGGCTGTTGTTATTTGCATAAGTATTGTGGTATCCTAAGGATCTTCTGTATTTCTCCAATTTATTAGCTTTATAGAAAGGTTCAGCTAAAGCAATAAAAGGAAACTTGTTTGATCTAATCATTTTTCTAAGTCTCTCAAGAGCACCATTGGTTTTGATGCTCCTGATATTCTAAAATAGGGACTTAAACATAATCACTTATCAGAGAAGATTCTGTTCTTTGTAGCCTTTTCAGGCCTATGTGAAAAAAATCTTTCCCCTCTTCCTCGTGATGGTGCTCTACCCACTTGTATTAGATCTTCCCCTCGGCGATAGATGACTTGAGTTGATAATATTAGACATAGCTGCTGGGATTGGTTCTTGTCCAACAATGACTTCGACCAACTTGTCAGCAATGGTATCACTATTCTCCTCCTCACTATTCACACTTGCATACTCCTCACTTTCTTTTGAAATATGTTCATCTTCGTAGTCATTATCTTCATAGTTTTCATTCTCCTCATCAGTGGAGTCTAATGCACCATCAGATGACTGTTCTTGATCCTGGTTCCTATCTTTTTCAAGATTAGTACCATATATTAGCTTCTTAAATTCCTTTTGTAACTCTCCTAGGTCAATGATGTGGTTTACTGCTTTTTTTCCTTTTGTTCTTATTCTAGTTGATGCATAACCTTTGGGCTTGATTGTAAAACTTTCACATGTTGTCTCTCATTACTTTGATCTCCTTTCCCAGTTGTATCCTTGTCGTTCACAATTACCCCATTGCCATTTGTTTGAGATTCTTTTGGTTGTTCCACATGTTGTTGTTGATTGCCTTCTTCACTCACTTTGTTGTTCTTTTTGTTCTTTTTACCCATGTTTCTCTTCTTTTTATGCTTCTCTTTTGTATCATCCTATTTTATATCATGTTTACTCAGATCCACTGATTCATCATGCATTGCTTTTGTGTCTCTTGTGTCAATTGCCTTCCCTTTCCCTGGTCTTTCATTCATCACTTCTTTTTGTGTCATCATAGTAGGTTCTCTAATGAAAATGACACCACTTTTTTTTATTGTTTTGTACACTCATTTACTTTATTTGACCATTCATCTGATCTGTTCCTGCTTGTTGGCTCAGTTTTGGCATGGTCTTATTTCTTGTAGCTCTTTTTCGAGTCACAATCTTGAATTTCTCCTCTTTATTTTGGACTTCTACACTGGTTGAGGAAATATCATGTTGTTAATTAATTTTGTCCATTTTGAGTCTTTCCTCCTTGTTTTGTTTTATCCTCACACCCTTGATTTATTTTATCCTTTCTTACTTTATATCAATTCATACTCCATCCTCACCGCCATCCATCCTGTTGAAACCTAGCCATATCTGATCCAATTTTGGCTTAAGTAAATCAATCTCCATTTTTATTTTAGCAACATTACCTCTGAATTTTGAATATGTGGCTTGATCAGGAGCAATGAAAACCCCTACATATTGAACCATTCAAGATACAATTCCCCATTTGAATAAGTGCCAAGGCAACTGATGAATAAGAATCCATACCAGCACAATTGGTATCTCTACTTCAGGTTTAAAGTTAGGTGTTCACAACATAATTTTCATAGGGGTCCCATCAATATCCACAAATATTTTGCTTTGAATGTGAGTATAATCAACTTCATTAGAAAAATCAATATAGACATGTTGAAAATCACAATAAGCAATCTTTACCGATCCTTTAAGATTATATTGTCTAATAAAAGCCTTCCTAATATCCTCCATTGAAGGCTTTCCCTTATAAAATTTTCCAATTAGATGAGTCTACATTCTTTTGCTTGATTCACGAAGTAATCTTTAGCACTGGAAAACACTGTCGGCTTACCTAGATGGGTACCATATTTTATCTCTACTAACTTGACACATTCAGTCATAGATGGTAGCTCTGCTTGGACAACTGCAGCAAAATATGGCTTAGATGCTCCTTGAGTCTACCTATTAGTCCCAATCTGAGTAGTTTTGTCATCAATAACTATCCCTTTTGTAGCTGGTACTGGAGGTGGATTAATAATTTTTTCTATGTTTTTTTTTCTTGTATGTTTGCTCTAGATTGCTCCTTATTCCTCCTCTCTGATTTATCAAAGTTGGCTGAAATTTTTGGTTGTGGTGGTATGGTGTATGAGATAGCAGTGTTGGTTTGGTTTTTGTTTGAGGTGTTGGTATTATGGTTTGGGTTATCAGAATTTGCGGTGTTTGTTTGGTGACTATCTTTCAATGTGTCCTTTTTGGTGGTGATCGTAGGTGGCAAGGAGGTTTGAGTTGTTGTATGTAGACTGTGCGTCGAAATATCAGTAGCTACATAGGCGGTTGTAGGGTCAGATATTAGGGCCGGTGGTAGGTCATTGTGATGTTGTCCCGCCAAATCTACTTTAGACATAATTCTTACAGAGAGAGAAAGTTTGAGAGAAGGATCAACTTTTGTCATTACATGGTAATAGAGATAGAAAAAAAGACTCAAAGACCTTTAATTTTAATTTGATATATAGATCACAATACAAATCTTTATAAATTTGAAGTTATGCTTGTTTGAAGTTACGTCTTGTGTGTACTTATTTGAAACTTTAGTCTGTCATATGATTTCCAACTTAGCTTGACACGAGGGCTCTCCTTAGATCATATTATCATTTCGAACATACATAATATTATATTCAATAGATATCTTTTATATTATTAGTCCTTTTTAACACGCCAATCAATGTAGTTAGGACATGTCAAACTTTCAAATGTCCTTAAATATTTCAAAAATATTCGAGGTATTACAAAAGAATTCATTCTTGCCAGATTAACTGGCATCCAGAAGTCACTTGACTACACTTTCAGTAGGTTCCTTCAAGACCTCGAATCCAACTTCCGATATGAGTTTTCTTCTATTCTTAAGGATGTGGAGGACTTTTAGAAGCTCAAATCTAAAATTAACTGGTTGTGTGAGTGTGATGCCAACACCAAGTTTTTTCACACAACCACTCTTAATAGAAGAATGAATAATACGATCATTTGCTTAAAAGATGAAGTGGGCAACCTAATTCAAGAACCACCACATATCAAGGACACCATCCTTAGGTATTTCAACAATATCTTTACTATATATCACCAATTTTCGTCATGGCATACTTCACACCCAATTGATAGACCTCTAGTTCTCTTAAACATTGATCAATCAGCCCTAGACTCTCCACAGATTTAGTAAACTTCTTTGTG